TCCTGCTGAGAAATGTGACATTCTAGGGCAAATAATCCTTCCAAAACACAGTAGATTGAATCTTTCAAGAAAATCAAGGAGTTAGTCTCATAAGTCTGGGTTACTGCAAGTGTGGCGTCAAATATCTATTTACCAGCCTCACTGCTGCTGCAAGTGTTGCAAAGAGGGGAAAAAAAAGCAGCACGTTCAGCTTCACATCTCCTCATGGGGCAGGAGAGTAAGTTTTCCTTTTCTTTCTAGCTTGTATTGAACTACAAGCTGGGACTAACACTGATCAAGCTAAAACTGAAACAAAATACAAAGAGTAATTCCAAAAAAAGTAATTCAGAGATATGGAAATATAAGTCAGATTCAGAGGGTGGTAGCTCTGGCATTACCCAGAATTATATGAATGAATCAAAAATTCACCACAAGTATTTTTCATTTAGTAATAGGAATCTCTCTGTTACTACTGAAGTGTCAGCTTTGGCCTAGAGATTGGGACCTATTTTGTACCTTCATAAAACTGGCAGTTTAGATATAATTCTTCTTCTTTGATTTGGATATATTTGCCTCTCCAGAACTATTTAACAAGAAATGTCATTTCAAACACTAAAATAAAGAACATAATTTTATTCAAGTAGTCTCACAAAAATTGGTCATTAAAGCTATTTCCTTGAAAAATATAGTTTTTTTTTTTAAAATATCTGTTGTTAAAAAAAAAGACTTTTACAGGGCAGACAATAAGGCACCCAGAGTTACATAGGATATGATTATTTCTCCTTGTATTTATAAATACCTTTAAACATCTACTTACAGAATTCTGCCGGTCATGCATTCTCATTTCAAAAGCAGTCTGCCTAGGGTTGCTGATTGCCTGAGGACTAGATCGATTTCCTAGAGCTTGAGGGGAAAACTGTCCTCCAGGAATAAAAGAAGGATGATCTCGCTAAAAAAAAAATACACACAAGTATACTGAAAGAGGTGTGTAATCTCCACAGCGTACGTGACGATGCTCTATCACAATTTTCAGCTTAATATACCCAATATAAAACAAGCATAATTTAATCAATTACTCACTCAGCTCAGCCTAAATCAGTTATGATGATCAAGATCTTACCCAGACATCAGACAGCACTTTCAAGTGAGACTCTTATATTCCTACAATTTATTAAGTTTTTCCAAAAAAAACCCAAATAAAACAAGAACAATTGTATTACGTGCTGAAGTTCTTCATGGGTTGAAAGGCAGTTTTTTGGGGATATGAGACTCCATTTGACTAACTTTGGGGAAAAAAGGACTCTCTGTAAGCAAAGTGAATAACCAAAGTGAATAACCCCTTTCATTCTAACAGGGATAGTCAGGAAATAACTAATTTAAAAAATAAACACAGGCTACGGATAGCACTGAAAAAGTAGGGACATCATATAACTTGAAAACTTTGGATGCTACACTTACCCAAACGTCCTAGCCAAGAACAAAGCTATGCTGAAATGAACATGCAAGAGCCCATTTTTAAAATATCCGAACGTTTCATGCACAGGAAATTATACCTCAACAACTTTACAATAATGTGATTTTAAAAAATTCAAATAACATGGGTCAGAAAGGACAAACGTGCTCCCAGAACAATTAACGTTTCCCTTTTATATTTACAAGAAATTTGGCAACACTGACTTGCTTACTATAGTGTGGGGTAAGCCTCATTTGCTTTTTCTAAAGGCACGCCTTTAAACAAGCACATCAATACAATGCAAACTGGTATACACATTTACATTTAAAACCTTCAGCTAATACTCCATTTAAGCACATCAACCCGAACACAATACAGTTGCTGACAATATTTAGGTCAATCCATGGAAGAGCAACTCCTGTACAGTTAGCATGGCAAAGCACCACAAAATAATCATGAAAGTGCAGATATGTCTACATTTCAAGGACACAACATACAGTTATCATCAGGCACCTTCAGTTCTCTCCCTCCTTCCCCAGTTTAGAAAGCCTTTAAACAGGCAATTTCTTCATTCAAAGCTCCAGCTTACAAAAAGCCATGTTTAAGCACAGCCCCAAAAATCTGCAACTACAGCTGCAGCTTTGACTCACATTTACTGAAAGCTACATTACATATTTTAATTACTGTTAGCATTTTTTGCGTTGTGAAAGCAATGAATTTACCTTCATTCTTTTTCTTTTTTCTTTTTGCCGTCTTTTGAAGTTGTCCTAAGTACAGAATGAAAAGTCAGTCAAGGATACAGGCCTCTTGGAAAAATATTTCATTACAATCCTCTACCAGCTAAAAAGACCAATAAGGTTTTTAAGTACTGTTCTGAATAAAACACAGGCCACTTCTTGTATCTGTAAATCCAACAGAAATGGGATACAAATTTCAACTCTACATGGACAAATCACAGAAAAAAGGCAGATGTGTATTCAAAGCCCCACAGTTCCGGTTACGGCTTATATTCCCTACTAAGTTTTGCCACAACAACCAGGCCTTCGAACTTATGGATGGAAAATCTGAGTTTTAGTAGTAGTAGCCCACTGGCAATTTTAGCCAGTATCAGTATCAAAGGGCTGCAAGTGATAACACAGACAAGCTCCTTGTTTGGACTGGAACTGCTCAAAAACAAACAAACATAAACAAATAAAAAACAGGAGAAACACTAAAGTCCCAGAAACGGGCAAAGATGAGGATCTAAGAAAGATATTTATCACTCTTGGCCCAGGACACTGAAAACTTGAACATCAAATTGGCATTTCCACTTCAAGAGACATGTAGGCTGGAGTTGTTATAAATAAAATATTTTGGCAGCACTGGTACAGGATTTTTTGATTGGATTTTTAGATACAGTCTCTTCCTTTGCTCATAAGGTGTTTTTATCCCCTGTACTGAATAAGCTGCATATACAAAGACTTAGGATAAACAAAAAAAACTTCTCAACCAGAAGAAATGCTATAATGTGTAAAGAGTTATTTTCAATATCTTTTTCAGATGCTGAGAAGATATAAAGCAACTCACAAAATAAGTACTAGGTTTTTTTTTTTTAAACAAATAGTTTTAAAGACAGGCCCACTAGAATTTAATTTAAAGTTTACTTACAAAGTGAACACTACCACATTTAAAACTCTATCCTAACTTGTCTTTAGTGCGTTTACTTAAAAACAAACAAACAAACAAAAATACCTCCCACAATTCAAACAGACTCCAAAGAACTATTTTAAACAATGCAATATTTAATGTTTAGAATGAGGGAGAGTGTGGGGGGAGTAGAGGAAGAGGAAGAAGAGATGAGATATGCCAAACCTTGAATTCTACAGAACATACACAACGGTCTGACCATCTCTTCCGAACTGATGCAAGCAAGTCCTGCCCACCCTCCAAAATGAGCTACACTCCATACAGTTACATCAGTGTAGCCAGAGTGAGCATCCTCTGTCTTTCCAGAGAAAGAACCAGCACAGGCTTAGTACCGCTCTAATCCCAGCATGTCTCCCAGGCTGCAGAGCTTGCACGTGTCTGCAAAAGACTGCACAGACACATTGCAGAGACAGACCAAAAGAACAACAGTTTGTGGACAACTCTTTCCAGACAGGAGGCACTGGCAAGGCAAGAACGCATTTCGCATTCATGTTTAGTACTCTGCCACCGCTCGCTGCCAGTGCTTCCACAGATTGCAGCAGGGTACAAACCAATTCCTGTTTAGTTTTCATAGCAGCTATTCAAAAAGCTGCAGGCAGTAACAAAACTCACATACAGCTTTCACCCTGCTGTTACTTGGGATAACAAGAAAAACAGGCTCTGCAGCTCAGGGAAAGTAAATCAACTGGGAGCACTCAATTCATTTTCAAACATAGAGGAATTCACTGGAGACTATAACAACAAAATACAAAGTTGTTATTCTATTAAGGTAGTGTGACAGTCTAACGGTAATGCAAGTGATCAAAAGTAAATTCCAAGAAAGTAACAAAGAAAATTACATCGTCATCTTTTCTCTTTTTGAAAATACTATCTTCGACTTCTCCGACAGCTAACATGATCATCTGGACTCGCTGTAGGTTGACAAAACCACTTTCTGTGAGGTACCCCTGTAAATTGCAAAGTAATATAGTTGAAAAAACAAAACTCTTCTGTAGTAAACACCTAGGTATTTTTAAGAAAAACTCAAAAAAAATTTTAAGTTTACCCCCGTTTTGTGCACCACATTTTTATATATGTTAACCAAGCGATCAATTGCTCCTTCCCTACAAACAAACAAAAAAAGCATTAGATTCTTTTCATTTAAAAACATCGTACGTACACTCGCAAGAAAATAAAACATATTCTCTCATATACCTGATCTCCAAAGATGGCAGATGAGGAAGAAAGTCATTTCCCACAAAGAAGCACATAAAGACCCAGTCATCGATGCTTCTCTCAAAATCAAAAGTGAAAGGCAAACTGGCCATAGTGAGTTCTCTTTCCAAATACTGCAGCACACACAAACAAAAGAAAAAGGGCATTGGAAAGCCTTGGGCATACAGTTTAAAAACATTCCTTTTACAAAGCAGATGTAATAACTGCTTTTGCATACCTCTCGCAAAACACACAATCGAATGAAGATAAATTCTTGTTCAGAGGTAGGAAGACTGTCTGCAAACTGATCGTGCTGTAACATAAAACAGAAGAGTTGCATTACATCCAGGTTGACCTTAAAGTTTCTCCAGCTTAATTTTAAAGGCTTACTTTGAAAGGAATTAAAAGATATACAAATATAGTTTCTCAAGGACTTATGTCAAGCATGTATTTTGCTATTTGGCATATCTGTGAAGTTACTGACAGTTTTATCTCACCAGCGAAAAAAGGAGTGAGGATCTCAGGTTTGGCATAATATTATTGTGCTACAGAAGTACAGTTTTTATTTATTAATAAAATAGAAAGGCCAGGTGATTGCAACAATATAATCCATATTGTGCTTTGGCCAAAGACTACAGAAAGAATAATTTGTGGGTCTCAAAGACACAAATTATTTCATAAACCAAAATAATTTCTCCAAATGGTGATAATTCTTACCTTGCCTTGTTTTTCTCTGGGTAAGCCTTGGCAATCTTTAACTTCATGACCCATCTGGTTACAAAGACTACATGGCTTGGGTTTATTTGGTTTAAACTCTTCCCTAATTATAGTGAAATTTGGCTCATGTGTAGCTAATCCAAGCATAATTAGATCAGCTATCAATCAAAAGAAAAAATAAAAATAATGAAGGATGAACATTATTAAGCTTTCTTTTTTTAAAAGAAGTTAAAAAGACAAGTACATTCTATCTTAAGCGAGTATGAACACAAAGATGTGCTTACCCACAGGCTCATTCCGAATCATTTTTCTAACAAACCACCAGTACCTGGATAGGTACCAAGATACAACTAAGGGAAAATCAGCTATGGACAACGCTGGATCTTTCCCCAAATATTAGACAGAGCTTTCAAAAACTAACAAATACACTGGATATTTCCACAAATGCAAATGACATCATAAACATGAAGGTCGAATTGAATCATGACATTTTCGGCACAAGAAAACTGAACATGAGATATATTGCTAGCAGAGGAGAACTCACCATCAGCCCCACACAGACAATGATGAGTGTTTGGGTCATGGTTTGGTTGAGCTATACAAAAGAAAATTACATTTGTTCAATTTAAAGTCATGAAAATAATTTAAATATAAAATAAAACGTTCACATGTATTTGAATGTTACCTCTTTGTCTTCTAATATAATCCATGATTTTATGTTCACCTTCGCCAGGAGCACTAGCATCAGACAAAATAACCTGTGAAGCATTTAAAGATTACATAAGCGATTTAGGCTGACAACAGTAGAAAATATGTACTTCATATATTGAATATTCATTCTGCCTTATGAACACTTGAATTCTTAATTTGTAATTTCAGCTAAATATTATGATTCAAAATGAAATCAGTCAAGAGTTTGGATCCGATGAGTAGACCTTCATTTTTCATGCAGTGAATCAATTAGTAGAAGAGCTATGTGACAGAATTCTAGGACCAAGCTGACACATTGACTCAAGCATCACAAAAATAATCAAGACATCATTAATGAGTTTTAAATTTCCTAACCAATTGTCAAGACAATCATAATACGACCAGAGACCTAACAGATAAAGCAGATACATACTCTTCCTGCTACATACGCTAAACTCATAGACACCGTGACACATTATAACTTTATACACTTCCCCACAGTGATGTCCAGACGAGCATTAGGGTTTACAAAGCTCACGTCAGATGGAAGGAATTAAGCGGAGCCAACTGCCCTCTAATTAGAGCACTTTAACATCAACCTATGGAAAATAAACAGACAGCTGCATCTGGAAAGGCTGAATAGTTTTGCTCTCTTGTACAGAGCAAACAACAGGGTTATCGCAAACAAAACTGGATGGTGGCAGAGTGGCTAAGGAACAGTAGGAAATAATCTCCAAGTGCAGAAAGGCAGGAAAGCTGGTATGAATCACTTTTGTTGCCTGTCATTTAGCATACTCCATCACTAGAAATAAAGGAGAAAATACAGCCTACATGAGCTGGCAAAAAGTTAAGAAGTAGAAAAGAGAATGCATACACAATGTATCTTGACCTTTTTCCCTCAAGGGAGGAAAAGTGTTCTTAAAACCCTGTCTCCCATTATAGCAAACCATAGCTTCTAATATCAAATCTCGCTATTGCTCTTAAAAAGAAATCTTTTCATATGAAATCCAAACAAATGGCTCTGCTAGCTAGATGGTGTTATTAGGATGAAACATATCTCAAAGTCCTAGCAGGATGTGCAAGTTGGTCCATTACTAATAACAACACAGTGCCAGAAGATACGGCAAATCTGTTAAATTTGTCCTCTTCAATCACATCCCAATCCAGCCTAACACATCACCTTAATTTTCCTGCAGTATGAAACGGTGAAACTTACTGTCAAATTTTTCCAACCTGGATCACTGTTTAAACGGTCAGCAATGTAATAGCGGAGACATTTAGCAAGATTATCCATAAACTCAGTTCCCTAAAAAGTGACAGAAGAAAATAAATTAAACCATCATTCAGGTGTTAGCAATTGCTGGTTAAAGTTCAAGATTACTTACTGGAGTAATGCAGTTGCTGTCAAATCTCTCTTTCACTTCTTCTGGAGGAAGAATGCCACCTAGAGCAATGAAGACATTTAACACAGTAAACCAATACTGAACATTAAAAAGGCTTTTGCATGACAAAACCACAGATGGCTCCCCTGGTAACAACCAACCCTTTCTTTGAGAATTACTTTGTTTCAAAAAAGAGATCTTAATATATTATCTACATCTTAAAATAAGACAACCAGTATTTGTATAAAAGTTGTCTGTTGCTTCAGAGAAGAGATTTCACCATTTGCTCTGCTAAAAGATCACAAAAGAGATCTCAGGAAGAAACTAAGCTTGCTAAATCAGATCATACATTAGGAAATAACTATTCTCCTATGTATTCTCCCCTATGTTTCCACTACCTATTCACCTGGCCTCACAAACAGGGCTATACCAACTTCTCTCATCTTTAAGCTTCATAAAGGGTCTTTGTAGTCTAGAAATGCTACAGGAAGAAATGCTTAAAAACAAAAACAAAAAACACTGTCCTGCCTTTTTAATCCCTAACTAGGTTACACAATGGCCCTCTCACTCGGACTGCAACACTACTCCTCCTACAGTCACCTGAATTAATTTCTCCAGCCCAACGAGCATGTTTCAGCTATACATTCTCCTTTCACTCAAGTCTTGTCACTGTCACCCTTAGAAAGTTGCACTGGCTTTGTTTCCTCACTGTGTTTAAAGAGTTTCCACTATCAAGTAGCTACTCTTACTTGCAGTTCACTACACCTGTCTAGCAGTATTTTCATCTGAAGCTCACTTCCGAGCCTCAACTTAAAAAAAACAAAAAAAAAACAAGCAGCCCTACACATTTGTATTTTCTTCCACAGAGTTTTGGTTAGCTTCCCACTGCTACATTTATCCCTGTTCTTCTATTCAATTTTTTTCTGAAGTAATTAAGAGTACCCAACACAAACCCATTTCAGGAAAGGAGATATAAGGGGGAAAAAAAAAAAAAAAGGATCATTTTGTTTTATCTTAGATCTTAACTTTGGAAAAAAACAGATCCATCCTTCTGTAGGCTTACTATATCCTCCTTTCCTCTGGTATTGCATAAATATCCACTGAGCAAGACATCCTTTTCTAAACTTTACTGAAAGGTTCAAAACAAACAAGGTAATTCTCTCACTTGAGAAAACAACGTCAAATATGGTCACAACTCTACCTTTTGCCAGAATTTCTTGTCTTATTTTTTGCTTCTCTTCCGCAGCTTCCATTCCCTCCTTTGACGCTCGGAATCTTCTTGATCGTTGCTGATTCATTTTTGCACGTGGAGCCTAAAACAGGTATCACAATGCTTGGTTCAGCTATAGCAGATTAAGAATAATTGTCTAGATGCAAATTAGTTTTGGTTACCAAGACAAGTCTTTCAAAACTGGTCAGGCTGTGATCATACAACCATTTAACAAGACATAAGTCTATACCGTAACTGAAACGGGGATTTCTGTTCCCACTTCCTGGCCGTACCTCCCTTGCGTCCTCGCTAGCTTTCATGTTTGCGCAGGGAGTCTCTGGACAAATTGCTAAACAGGCGTCTCAGGCTTCTCAGTGAGGTAACCCAGCAGAACGCTCACCTGTATCCATATCTCAAAAATGCACAAAGCTCAAGGATTCAAAGTTTCCCTTGCAAAATAAATAATGCCTCTCAGATATATGTCGTAAATGAAACTTGCAAGTGCAGTGTATTTTCTACAACAAAAAGCTCCTACAATTGCATCCATACTGTATACATACGCATGCCCTTTTAAAAATAAAAAGACTGTAGAGCAGACAGTAGGTAGCTATTACTTAGGGCATGTATCTTGAGGTTTTCAAAAGGATATATCAACATACCTTTGGATTACTTCTATACACCCAAATATTTTAGAAATTCTTGCACTTGCAGTAAGATAAAAATCATTCTACTTAATAGATCCTCATCTTAACTTTGAGAAACTAAGAAGCCTTGAAAAACAGCCAAACCTTAACAGTCCTACCAAGAGTCTGTTAGGCCATTTTAATGTTTCTCAGGGAGACTACGCAATCAGGAGAGAAAAAAATGTCATTAAAGCAACGTTTTTTAAGAAAAGATGATCTCTTTTCACCTTTTTTTGTTAGGCCAACTGATGTACCTGGGGCAGATGGGAATAGGATAAGGAGAAAGACACGCTTTCAGGCTCAGATATCTTCTTAAGACTACTCTGAAGCACTTCACAGCACAGTTAAGTCACTGCCCATTTTAAGCGCGCGTGGTTTTTGAGTTTTTTGGCTTGTGAGGTTTTTTGGTTTTTTAAGTGCACCAGTTTTCTGGTCTTTCCTAGTCTGCTGCATAAATTATTACTAAAGCCACAGAATGAAAGAAATAGTTTCAGAGAGTTACTGTCCTACATGAGTTTTCTGCTTTCCAGTACTGAAATTCAAACTGCAATAGAGTACACTAGCTGGCTTATATAACCAATAAAACCCATGGATGATTTTAATTACTACCATCAAAATTTAATTAACAGTATATTTTACCTGTAGTTTTTCATTTGAGAAAACCATTTCCCAAAGGACCTCATGAGAGCAGAGGGCATCAAAAACCTAATTTCATGAACAGCCATTACCAGGAACTAAACGTATCAGTACTTACTACTCCATCAATAGCCATGTAGAGAAGTCGCCTTGGTCTTACAATGTTGAAGATCCTGTCAATATACTCAAAAATCGCAACCATCATTTCATCTTCATTTTTGGGTGCTGGCCTAAAACATAGAGCATTCAATTTAGCATCTGAAGTGTTCAGAATAAATCCTATTTGTAAAAAGACAAAAAACTGCCTTACTTGTCTTCTGGATGTGTACAAGGGTGGATTATACCATTCATATCCAAATACAGATTATCAAACTCCACCTCATTGGGATTAGGTTTGCTGGTATCAATTGAGGCCTTGACACCATTGCACTCTTTAGCCTGTGAAAACAGTTCAAAACAAGAGTCTTATTACATGATTATAGAAGCATTATAAATAACCAACAGAGGCATTAACGCATAGACTCAAAAGAGTAGATTTTTCCAAGGGCAGTAGGAAGATAGCAACGATCTACCCACAACATAATTAGCTACAGATTCATGGTTACACTACTAAGAGTCATTTTAAGCTTCATTTTAAGATGCGTCCATAAACTAGCATTACTAGAAGGTATTACAATGAGTTACAGCAGAGCTAGTTAGTTTCTGTCGACTGGTATGTATTAGGAATACTATTTCAAGGAGTTTCCATACCTCATAGCATCCAAAAAAAAAAAAAAAAAAAAAGAACTATTTTTACTGCCAGGACCACACAGACCCCTTAACACTCAACAAGGGACTTTAAAGTTTGGAACATGATCTAAAATGATTAGATTTAGAACAAGTTTAGAACAGATCATTAGCATGATAAACAAGAGGCTTCAAAAATCTACTTTAAACAATTCTCCAGATTAACAGATGTAAATAAACTTGCACCACTGTCTCTTCTCACTGATACTTAATATTTAACTCCAAGTCACATAAACAATTTGGGGGCTGGGAAGAAAAATTGATTCATCTATAGCTGATTAGATACTGGAGTAGAGCAGATGACCTGACAAACTTCCAAAAGTCAAAATAAATCAGCAGATCATGATGAGCAAAGGAAGATAAGATTGAACTAAAAGGATGCTTCCTTTATACAGCTTCCTCTATACAGAGGAAGGAGATTCCTTCAGATGCCACCAGGCAAATCTTCTTTTTGGGTGTGTGTGTACGTGTGTGTACGTGTGTGTGTCTCACTTTTTCTGGTGACTACCAAATGCACTGAGACACTCAGACCCCTGAATGCTCTAGCTCCAAATTTTGGGTTTGTTTGTGGATATATTTGACAGGCTGAATCAATTCTAGCCCTTACATTCTGCTTCTGCAATATAAGCAGACTTCCAGCTCTTAACACTTCACTTTCTATATGTCAGCACATTTTCTGTTGACAGGCTGTTACCTAACAAACCTGAAGCTTGGGCCAGAGTGGAGACGGTAAACTCGATGACAAATTATAATCACCCTAAACCACCTGCAGTCATCTATGTTCTTGTAGCTTTCTGACATTCTTGAAAGCTTACAACAAACTGAACAAGGTGAACCCAAAAGCACGGGGAAAACAAATCCCAGAGGAACGTCCTGGAAGTAATAAGGAATTTAATTACTCTACTAATTGTGAAAACAATGTCATACCACATTATTTTACATGTGCTACTATGTCAACACAAAGTAGCTATCAGGCTGAAGAGAACAGTTTCTCTAACTGGACCCATGGCAGAATATCGGATTCATCCCCTTCATCCCCTTCTTTCAAGTATGGAAAACAATCAGTTATGAAACACTGGCGAGATCCAGCTCCACTCTACAAAAGTGGTTTAGCAACCACGTTTAATTTTGTTTCCTTACTACACTGTCCCTTTTTGAGATTCCTCAAAAGTCAATTAGCAACGCTTCCGCAGTGATTATGAGCGATCCACTTTCCTTTGCAAGGGAATACAACCAGTCATCATATTAAGCCAGTGCATTAAGCATCCATAAAAATCAGTGAGAGAGCAAGAGCTGATCAAGAAAAAGTCAAATACATTTGCAAAGAAATTATGACCGGAAATGGGTATAACATACTATTTGGACTCAAGAATACTCAAACAACTTGGCATAAAGTGAAAATAAAAAA